TCTAGATCTAGATCTAGCTAGACTAGAAGATGATTCAGTCCAAACAAGACTATTGGGTCGGTTTGCTCGCCAGATTGAAGGCGCAAAGCATCTATCGTGGCACAAGTCGATCGCGCCCGACTCGTTGTTTCAAAACAAACACGTTGTTTTCAGGCGACGAGTCAGCCGATCATCCCGACCCAACCTGACCCGGTCCGGGTCACGGGGTGGCGGCGAGCACCCCGTAGTGCAAAGGAGCGAATTGTCCCCCTTGGCGTCGTTATTTTAAGTCGTGGAAGGAAATTTCTGTGTTTTTAAATAAATTTTACTATTATTTTCCCACGGGAAATTGGCTAAAATTCACGAATTCACGAAAATGGTAAAAGTTGCGCTGAGGGCAAAAGTTGCGCTCGTAACTTGCGGGTTGCGGGCGCGAATTTCTCTGAGGACATTATTGATGAAAGGTGTGATTGGCAAGATCACAACATTTTTACTAGTTCTGTTAAAAGTATTGAATATATTAGCTGATAGAAATGTACAGTACTGCAATTTATTTATATAACTTCAATAAAAGCATTAAGACTGATCCTCCAAAACTCTACTAGCATTAACAATTCTGGAGAGATATAAATAGCTAAGTCATTTCGTCACACATAATTGGGGTGTGACGAGATGAGCGTGTGACAAAATGACTGGTTACCATATCAGGTTGGTGGGTGTATTTTCTACACTTTTTTACATCATGACTTTCAAAGTCATGCTGCATCCAGGAAAATAACAAAATAAAAGAAATAGTTACCCTATTACCTCAATAGGTCCTGCCTTTCCATTCCTATCTTACAAAGTAGAATATCTTGATTAGTGGTTGAGATTTTAGAAATTTAAGATTTGTGTTTATTTTCAAGATGCCAATGGGTGATATATGTCATGAATAACACCCTTCGTCACAGCTCACCAATGAGACTTTTTGGTGGAAATACTTGTTACAAGAAATTAATTTTAAAGTTAACACTGTTTTTGCACTGAAGGTTCTCAAAACATGCTTATGATTCGAAAAAAAGGAAGCTCGTGCTTTTAAAGCGATATATTGTCCCGGTTGTAAATTTTTAAAAATCTATAGAAGCCACCCACTGGAATTTTTAATTTGTATTTATTAAGGGATTTTCTATAATACTGCTAACAGGTGTCTACAAAAATATTGATCGGTTAATAAAAATTGATACAAGTCATTGTGCAAAAGCTGGAGACTTTATGTTCGATAGTTGAGGAAATATTTGACAAAAATTTGCACCATGAATTTTTGACCGCACCATAGATCTCTA